ATGCTTTACCCCCCTTCGGCAAGCTCTTCTTTCCCGCGTTCGACCCATTAACACTTTCAGATTCCCCCCCCCCAGTAAGATCCATTTCAGGTTGACCCTTTCTTTTTTTTTGGTTCTTGCGTATTAGGTTCAGATTTTTGAGATGATGCCCCTTTTCCTTTTTTTGGGGATACCAAGGATCTTCTCCACAGCTTCCACCCTTTCAGACAGATACTTGATCTCTGTAAGGCACGTCCCAAACCCTTGACTCACGGCATCGAGTACGTCCTTCAAAGAATCTTTCAAAGAATCCTTCACGATTCTTTCAATATCCTCTTTGGTCAGCCCACCAACATTGGTACTCAACTCAGCCTCTTCCTCTGCACCTTCCTCGGCATCTTCCTCTGGCTCTTCCTCTTCCTCTACCTCTGCAGGTAGTTTTTCTTTACGTTCTATACAAGCTTTCTTAAGAGGTCTTGGACTCTCTTCCTTCACCAAAACTATCGTTTTCTTCCCTTTCTTTGCTACTGGCCTTGTATTGACCCAAGTACCGGTGACTTCCCAGCAATCCATGGTCCCCTTCCATGGTTTCTTTATGTACATGAGTTTAATTATGTTCTCCGCGGCCGAGTCCTCAGCATCACATTCCCATTTTGGAAACATTTTAGCAATGCCCTTCTCAACAAAGTTCATAACAATAGTCTGCAGTAAATAGAAGATATAAACTTAGATATTTGACGGATTAAGAAAGATGGAAAGAAAAGAGTCACAGAAAAACTTATGATTAAGTCGTCTGGAAAGTCGTCCAACTAGATGACTTAAAAATAAGTTGTCGGAAAAGTTTTCCAGCTGGATGACTTAACAAACTACTTATTATTAAGTCGTCTAGGTAGTCTTCCCGGACGACTTAATGATAAGTCCTCTACTAAGTCATCCAGCTGAAAGACTTTTCCGACGACTTATTTTTAAGTCCTCTGCTAAGTTGTCCAGTTCGAAGACTTTCCAGACGACTTAATCATAAGTCGTCTGCTTCTGGAGTAAAGTAAATACCTGTCTTTTAATAGCATCTTTAAACCATCTTCAGCCTTTGCCACCCTTGTAAGCTAGTATCGGTGGAGACGGTCTGTTTGGTATGGGATGACCATAATTAGCATCCAATTCCGGCAGAGCTGTGTACATCCAGACTTGGAGAGCCTGTACAAACCCATCAATGGTGTAACAACCGTATATATCTTTGCCCTTAACCGAGTCCATCAACACCTTAAAGGCGACTCTCCCACATGGACAATTCTCAAACCGTTCTAGATCCATCACTAGCCTTGCCAGAACAGCCCGTGTAGGGGTTGAAAACTTCCTCCCTTCAATGTATCCAGCCAAGATGGCAAGGTACCCGAGCCACTTGCGATCATCCGGAGACCACCTTTCGCATCTCCCAAATGCTGCTATTATCTGATCAGTAGTTGGCCCAGCTTAGGCATTAACTCGCAACAAGGTCCTCTTTGTACTCGCAGTTTAGACCAGTGAGGTATTCAAACTCTAACAGTGAAAACCTCAAAGGTTGTGGACCAGCAAGACTCCACAGCTCATACTTCTTCTTTATGTCGAGCTGGAAACCGAGCATGTAGTGAACCAGCCTTGAAGCCCATTCAAATTCCAGCTCTTGGAAATTGATGAAAACTCCAAACTTAGACTCCTTCAGCTCTTCATATTCATCATCATTAAGAGCATTCCTTAGAGCAATATGATACGAAATGCTATGCACTGCGTCAGGCTCTTGCCCTAGTGTATGTATCCTATGGGGGAGTTCTGGAATATCCATTTTTTCTGCAAAAAAATCAAAGACAACCATCTCAAACACACAACCATCTAGTATAACATTTTAATTATAAGTCTGGAAGACTTTCCAGACGACTTATAATTAAGTCGTCTGTCAAGTCTTCCAGTTGAAAGACTTATAATTAAGTCCTCTGGAAAGTGTTCCAGGTGGACGACTTAGCAGACGACTTAATTATAAGTCTACCAAGACTTGCAGTACAACATTTGAAAGCTGACCTGAAAATTCAGAGAAGATATAGTCGCCTTCGACATAACGGTTATAGAACTGCAAAAATAGACGTGAAAAAAAGAAGCGCGATGAGAACGACGTTGAGAACGATGTTTTATGTTCTTATTTAGATATAACTTACCAGCGGCATAGTTCAACGAAACGCCTCTAAGAGAGACGGCGCTAGGGTTTACAGAAAAATGGCACTAGGGTTTCCTCGCAGATCGAAAATATAGGAAGCGGCGGTGAGAACGGTGGTGATTAACGACGATGGTAAGGCGGAGATAACGATGGATTAGAGAGATGGATTCGACGGAAATCGCCTTTGAAATCACCTTTGAGAGCAACGGCGTTAAGATTTTCTGAATTTCGCGAAAAGTGAGTAAAAAAGAAGAATCTTATATATGTCCGGTAAAAAATCTGGTTATGTTTAAAAGTAATTTGGTAAAATCAAAGGTTTGGTCCGGTTTGGACGACTTATAATTAAGTCGTCTGTTGATACTATACATCCGACTAATTCGTCTGCCTTAAATATATTTACCAGACGACTTAATATTAAGTCGTCCAGACCCTAAACCTTAAACCCTAAACTAAATTGATTAAATTAACTAACTACCCACGTTATAAAATCAAATTATACTTAAACAATGTTTACTATACACAGATATAAACACACTTAGGTAAATTTTAAATTTTTTCAAAAAAATATTTATGCTTTCAAAAATCTAACCCTAAGAAACACATACAATACTACAACATATGTTGGCAAACCCTAAACCAAATAATATCATGACTCACTACTTTCACTCATCTATGTTAAAAACAACTAAACTTTGTTCTATCTTAATTTATATCTCTTAAAACTGGTGTTAATTACATGATTTCAATTTTTCACTTATCTAAATATTTTTTACAAAAATTTTAAATAATTTTTAAGAATAACTATACTAGACGACTTTCAACTAAGTCATCCAGACGACTTAGTTGAAAGTCGTCTGGATAGAATAGTTACGTGGGTTAGAAAGGTAAAAAAAAAAATCGGGTTTTTTGTTTGTTCACAAGGGGCTGGTTGTAATTTTAATAGCTTTTTAGGTTACTTTTCATTTGATTCATGTTTGGGTTTACTTTTGCATTTGAAACCAAGTTTTGAGTCATATTTGGCAAAATTCTCTTTTTCTTATTTGTCATATTTTTAATAAATTCAGATATACTTTAGTATATAATAAAATGAATTTATATTAATAATATTATATTTTGGAAAAATAAGATTATTCTTATGTATTATACTGTTAATTTGAAATTAATATTTCTCTATTATATAAATTAAAAATTAAGATTTAAAACATCATAACTAAATATAAATAATGCAATGCTTCTCCATGATTTTAGGTTATTTTTATTTGTTATTTTTAATTATTTCATATATAATTTATTAAATAATAAAATCAATTTATATTAATAATTTTATATTAAAAATAAGATAATTCTTATGTATTAGATTATTATCTTGAAAATATATTTTCTATTATAAAATTTAAAGGAATTTTCTGATTTATTACTTCTCCATGATTTATGTTTTTTATTGTAACACTTCTCCATGATTTATGTAATTTTGCTTATTTGGCATGTTTTTAATACTTTCATATATAATTTATTATATAATAAAAAAGAATTTTATTAATAATATTATATTTCTAGAAAATAAGATATTTATTATGTACTATATTGTTAAGTTGAATTTGTTTTCTGTTATATAAACAAAAAATTAAGATAGAAAATTATAATTAAATATAAATCAATAAAAATATTTTTATAAATATAATTTTTATAAATATTTTGATATGTGAATGTTGTCATTTTAATTAATTTTAAAAACATAGATTATTTTAAATTAATAAAACATAAATTAATAAAACATAAATAAATAAGTATTTGAAGGAAAATTATGCATGTATGTGCGGGCAAAACACCTAATAGATAAGTGGTACTCCCTCCGTTTCAAATTAGATGTCTTTTTAGAGTAAAATTTTTGTTTTAAAATAAATGTCATTTTATAATTTCAATACAAAATTTATTGATTTTTAATGTCATTCTATTTTTTAATTGGTTAAAATGTCGTTAGGTGTATAGATAAATGTGTTTTAATTTTGAAAACATACAAAATTATTTTGAACAAATTTTTTTTAAATCTTAATTAACAGTACATTCATATATTTATCATCACATTTATATACTTTTACATATACATACATGTACACATTGAAATGAGCGATTATATAACTAAATATTCATCACAAGTTAAAATTTTAATTCTTATTGAAGTTGAAATTTGTTTAATGTTTTCTTTCACTATCGCTCAAATTGTAGTGAAATGTTTTATGTTAATAATTTTTTAATGTTTCAAATATTATTTAGATCTTATTTGATTTTACATGTCTTTAGAAATTATAATAAGAAGCTATTAGTTCGACATAAAAAATGTCTAAAATTTATATAAAACGAAACCAAACAAATAAAAATAGTTTTTGGTTATCATCGTAAAAATTAAAAACATCAAACATTAAAACCAAACAACCCAAAATATATATAAATTTAGAATGATAGTTATTTTTTAAGAGATTAAAAAAAATAACGTAAAACTGAACCAATATTCAGGCTAAACAGACATAATATCATATTATCTTAAAAGTAACAAAAGTAATAATCTCATTCCACGCCAGGCGCGGATTATTACCTAGTTTAAGTAAATTAGGATCACCAAATTAGCAATTAGTAACTGTGCGGTCTAAATCTCTCGTATTGCATATGACAAACAGAATTTCCGTCTAGTAGAGCAATTAGCACAAACTTACTCATTGTTTTCTTCTTTACGAATATAAACAAGGATGCATACACAATATATTCATTCATAGCTTAGTCAAAACTAAAGACACAAGAAAGGCTTCACTCTCCATCTTTCCTTCAACAAACAAGAATGCTAATCCTCTTCAGCTTCGTCTGAAACAAAAGAAGAGCAAAGTAGCTTAGAGGAGAAACAGTGAGATTAGATGAGCAACACACATAATAATGTTTTAGAAAATATCACCTAAGTTCTTCTCCATGTCTGATAGACTACTTGAATGTGTATTCGAGCCATCTGAGGTCACACTCATTTCATCCTGCACCAGAATCATTTTTCCATTTTAAAACGAGGACAAAACCAAACTGTTGAAATTGCTAAGACCATGTTTTGTAATACTCACAACTGTTGGCAAGGAGATTAAGCTATGTTTTGGTGATGCTCCTCTGCTATAGTTAAACATAATCCACTCCATATTAGCATCAGCAAGAGCTCTCAGTCTATTAAGCTCTGGTAACACCTCTTTCCCAAGGTCTGGTCTATCTTTCCTTCTCAGCTGTGCACATTTAAGCGCAACCTTCGCCAAAGACAAAGCTTCTTCCACAGGCCAGTTATGCACTGCTGGGTCCAACATATCCTTGAATGTGCCTTTCTCTATCGCTTGCTCAACGTTATAAGACAACCCCGTAGGCTTCTTTGCTGTGAGCAGCTCTAGAAGCAAGATACCAAAGGAGTAAACATCTGACTTCACACCAAGCATTCCGGTTTGTTGATACTCCGGGTCAATGTAACAGAATGTCCCTGCGGTTGACGTTACATGAATCTGCGTGACGTTTTCCGCAACTGCAGGGACTAGTCTGGCTAATCCAACGTCACCGATTTTGCTTACGTAGTTCTGGTCGATCAAGATGTTTCCTGGTTTCAAATCACGGTGCACTATTGGCTCAGGTTTTGTCTGGTGAAGGAAGAGCAGACCAGTAGCAACTTCGGCTGCAATTCTGAACCTGAGCTCCCATGAGAGCGGTGGTGTGTTTCCGTTTCTGTAGAGCCTATCAGCTAAACTTCCTTTAGCCATATACTCATAAACAAGAATACCATACTCTGGACATGCTCCAATGAGTAGCACCATATGTGGATGTCTTATGCAGCTAAGAACTTCCACCTGTAACAATACTCAATAAATAGTTTGTCCACATCTAAACCAAAGATTTGAAGCATCTGTTTTAGGTTAAACTTACCTCTCTTTGAAACTGAGATCTTCCTTGAGCTGCATCTGGTCTCAAAACCTTAATAGCAACAGGGGTATGATCAAGGTGACCTTTGAAAACAGGACCGTATCCACCTTCACCTATCTTATTAGCCTTGTCGAATGAGTTTGTAGCTTCTTCAATCTCACCAATGACATACCTCCTATACCTTAAGTTGGAGTCAAAGAAAACATCTCCAGATTCTATAGCTCTTCTTTGTGTTTCAAGCTCTGCTATCTTGTTTGCTGTTTCAGAAGCATCCATCGCAGCTTTGTTTGCTCTCTCTTTTTCAGCTATCAGCTTTGTTGATTTCTCTGATAACTGTCCTTCTTGCCCCCATCCTTCCTCTTCCATTTTCTGACGCTGCAGCTCCTTTGCCTTTAAAACCAAAAGTTACAACTTCTTTTAGTCAACAACACTGTACAAACGGAGTGGCCTAACATCAGGTGGCACTGATACCAAATTAAATTTGAAATTATGATGGATTTCTAACTTAAAACCAATAGGCTGATAAGTATATTGGTGTTAATCGTTATATATTAGTTAATTATTTCTCCAAGTACCGATGTGTGACTTTCATTCACTCATTAACAATATCATTTGATAGTTAACCTCTTGCTTTGCTGCTAATGCTTCTCTGCAAGCTGATCCATACAAGTCAATAGTGTGTTTCAGTTCCAGTTTCAGTCTCCGCATTTCAGCTTCCACGTCTCCCTGTACCTTTCAAGAAAACATATATAGTAGCCATTATCAAAAACCATATTCTGATGTCTATAACCAATTTAACTTGTCTTACCAAGTTTTGTGGTGAACAAGAGCAAGGAGACAGGCCACTATCTTGTGAGACGAATGAGAAGTCATGTTGGATATTGATCCCTAGACGCATAGAGCCAACGCTTTGTCCAGAGCCCGTAGACATTCTCGGAGTTAGACCAGAGTCAGGGAACTCATAGATGAAAGAAGGGCTTCCTGTAGTGCTTGTACTAGGCCTTCCTGAGCTCACAAAAGATATGTCAGACCTTCCGTTAGTGCTTGTACTCGGCCTCCCTGAGCTTGCGGTACTTCTCCGGCCTGAGCTAGTGATACTTGGCCTGCCTGAGGAAACAAATGATATGTCGTTGTCCGTGTCTGACAAATCATAGAATGAGTTTGCGTAGTTTGATGTCCTTGCCAGAGGTGACCTGTTGAAAAGAATGCTTAGTTTAATCTTTCAAAAGCAGATTAGTTTTTTTTTGGGTAAAGAGACAAGATTCTCATGGAACATTATTACTTTCCAAAGTCTTCAATAGAGCTGGAAACAGAAGATCTTGGTGGAGTCCTGTCTGTTTGTGGAAGCAAAAGTACAGTTTCAAGATGTGTGAGGATTCACGTGGTTAAAGCATCAAAGAAGTGGTGAACAAAGTTACCTCTAAAGCTCATGGTGTTCCTGAACTTTTCATAGTTAGTGACTGCAGAATGATTCTCAATCTGAGCCACAAGAGGAGACTGATAAGGAGCAGCTCGTGTGGCGTGACGGATAGATGATATCTTCCCTTTTGAAATGATGTAAACTGTACAGAAATCAGGTGCTGCTTTGGCTACATTGCTTGGTGTATCAGACATCTTGAATTTTCTTCTTAACCATAGAAAACAAACATAAGAAGAAGAAGAAGAAGAAAAGAGTGATGTTTCAAAGAGATTCATATCTATAATAATACCTCATGAATCCATGCCTGGAAGGAGCACCAAGAACCAAATTCTCAATCACACCAGAGGTAACGTATTCCGCAAGGGACTTGACTATGCTGTCATCCTCAAGCGTGACGTCAAGGCATTGTATCTTGCAACACAGAGATATACAATATTAAGACCAATCAAGCAAGGAGAAGAGTTATCTTATATCGTTGTTTGTACCTCTTTTCGACTGCAGTAGCAATGAAACGTGACGAAAAGGTTTTCAGCTTGCTTATGTTTCTCTGCAATAACCTCAGCTACAAACCCATTTGCACCAAAACAACATCAGTTTCTACAGAATCTTGAAAACTCAGACATAAACAAGAAGAAGATATGGGGGGGGGGGGTTCTGTAATAAGAAGAGCGTTCCAGAGACCTGAGTCAGATGAGGATTGATGAAGAACATGGAGGAGGATGATGGTTTCTCCTTTGGAGACGAGATGATCAGCAGCCCATTTGAGAGCATGTTGGCTTCCTTTATCTTTGTCCACTGCTACAGCGACTAAACCTGAATTCACATTCTTCTTCTTCTTCACGTTTACCTTTTGGGACTTCATCGAGAGTAGCCTTCTCCAAAAATCTCTGCCTCTATCTTCTTGGAGGGTTTCATTCTCAAAGACCTAAAGAACTGGCGGTATTTCCTAAATTTAGGGTTTTTGAGAATTGTCTAAATAAAGAAACTAAGATTTAGTGGTTGACTGAAGAACAACATTGGATCATTTCCACCGCTCGTTCTCTCTGTCTCATCATCTTTGTGTCTCCGTGTCTCTCTCCGACAGCTTCGGGTCGTCGCGGATTCTCCGCGCTATAGTAAGTAGTATAGCCTTGAAAATACAGTTTAGCCTTAAAAATTTATAATCTTTTTACAATTCTCAAGAAAAAAGGTTTTGAAACTTTATCATCCTCCCACAATGAATCACGAACCCTGTTGATGTTATTACGCATGGATTCATGTATTAAACTATATAGTATTGGAAATGGAAGAATCTTGGGATAATCATATGGAGAGAAATGAGTAAACTTTATGAAACTAATGCAAATTGGATTTAAAAAGCTGGAAAGTTACAAAGACAAAGACTAAGCCTGGGCGTTTCGGGTATCGGTTCGGTTCAGATATTTTGGGTTTCGGGTAGTTCGGATAGTGAGTTAGAGGATCTATTTACTACTTGACCTATTTCGGTTCGGTTCGGTTCAGATAGTTATGGATTCAGTTTAGTTCGGATAGTAAAACTAGGAATCAGAAAATACCTAGAAAATTTGGTTCTCATTTAGTTCCGGTTCGAGTTCAGATAAATTATCAGTTATTTAGGGTAAAATATCAAATAATTAGAACGATTTAGATACAAATTTCAGATATTTCAGATTACTTTGGATATTTGGATAAAATTATCGGTATACTTTCAGGTATTTCGGATAATTTATAATTATTTAGTTATCTTCAACTATTTTTAGATACTTCTAATAGATTTTTAAATTAAAATCATATATTTAGTTATGTTATATGTATATAAAATTAATATTATTATATATTCGGATACCCATTCGGTTTTTGGTTCAATTCCGGTTCAGTTATTTCAGATATATAAATATAAAAACCGTTCGGGTATTTAAGGGTTTCAATTCGATTTCGGTTTCAGATATTTTGGTTCAGTTTTTTGGTTCTGATTTTTTTGCCCAGGCCTAACAAAGAATATGCCATCAAGATTACAAACTCTTCATAGAATTCATCGCAAAACCAAAGTCATCGTCATCATCATTGTCCATCCTTCTTTCCTCATCTTCTTCGCAATAGCTCAACCCTATTTTTAATACGATCAACATCTCTGCTTTACAGTTCTTCTTCCTAGTCATTTCCTTGTCACTCACGTTACCTGTTTTCTTCTCCTTAACCATGTTACTAACCCAAGTCACAAGTCTCATGTTAGCATCGTACCCTTGCCTTCGGTAGTTCTCTGGAAACCTACCAGTTAAGAGCTCCAAAATCAGAATCCCGACGCACACATCGGTCTTCTTTCTTATGTGTGCCTTTGAGCTATACTATGGCGATTTATAAGCGATAGGTTATGAGACTGCTCTGAGTTCATCACCGTCTTAACACATATACTAAGGAATCATTGTATAACAAAAAAAAAAAGAATGGGAAATGGTTAACCTAAGATCTCCAAATTCTAGACATGTTCATCTTTGAGGCAGTGATCGTAATATCAAAGATGAAAATGACTAGAATTTAGAGAGACCCTTAGGTTAACTCTTTCCCATTCTTTTGTTTTTTTTTTTGTTGTACAATTATTCCTTAGTATATGATTTTACTTAAGGGTGTATTTGATATGATAATTTAGATAATTAATGTGCTATCGAGTAATCATCAGACACACAAGAAGAAAAGAAGAACATTATCTTGACCTTTTCTCATTTGAAGAAGTCTCATTTTGATCCCTTAGCTCTTCGTGCTCAGCACAAAAGAAAGCCTTGGAAATAAGTACATACCGTAAGCCAGATGATAGTTTTCTTCAGTGCTCCACTTTGGCCAAAACAGAGCTTCCTCGTCAGGGGAAAATGAAGGTCTGACTTTTGCCAACAGCCTTATTGCATCATCCTTCGTTTTGTTTATAGCTCTTAACCTGTTTCTCCATTTTTGGTTTTTATTGGAGCATTTTGCAGAAGAAGATGTGTATCAAACTGTCAGTGAACTGCGACAAATGCAGGAGGAAAGCAATGGAAGTAGCAGTCAATGCAAAGGGTAAAATATTCCAGTTATAACAATGAGAAATACCATAACTAGTTTTATTGATAGGATGAAAACTGTGTACAAACTTGCTTCCAGGTGTAATCTCTGTGGCCATTGAAGGAGAGTTCGAGGACGAGCTTGTAGTGGTTGGTGATGGAATTGATGCAGCTTCTTTGGTTGATACCCTGAGGAAGAAAGCTTGCTACGCCATATTAGAGACCCTTGAAGAATTCAACCCGGAAATTTCCACTCCTGATGATGATCAGGTGGAGAAGCCACAAGAAGACGATGATACCGAGAATTCCAATAACATGGAGACTGCTGATGATGATAATAACGGTACAGATCAAAATGTTCCACCACATTGCTGCTTAGCTCAATGCTCCACAAATTGCTATGAGCATCCACACCCTGAGATGTATGAAGCAGTAGTCTATGATTCTTATGGTCCAACCACTGGATGTACAATCATGTAAAGGAAGATCAATGATGTATTATCCTATATTCATTCAAAGTCAATATCTATTGGTACATGTATACAAACATCATAAGGAAACAAAAACTTAAACCGCATTTGAGTATTCTTTCAAAGTCAGATCACAAACATACATCAAAACATGTTTTCCCATCAGGGAAAATATGGATCCCGGGCAATATGTTCGATAGTAACCCTTCGCATTGACCTAACCAAATGTTCATGAGAGGCTCTGATTCTAGCAAGTCTGCTCTGCATACTCTGAATCACAGGATGGCTTAAAGCCTCACGCACTCTACCATAATGCTCTTGATCTTCAGAGAAACTAATAAGCGCCTCAGCTGCATTATCCCTAAGCTCTTCCGACTCATCCCCCAACCATTCAATCAAAATCGGTATCATACCAGACTCAGAAAAAGCCTCACGGTCCTTCTCGTTATAACACAACTGAGAAATAGCTCCAGAAATCCTCTCCCTAAACTCAAGAGACCCCTCTCTCACAAGCTCAACCAGCAAAGGAATCGCACCAGAGTCTCTAATAACAGACACAGAATGCCTATAACCCGCAAGATCCCACAACACATCAGAAGCAGCAAACTTAGCCTCACTATCTCCTTCCCTCAAGATCCTCACAAGCTGTTCCGCTATCAAAACAGCATTACCCTCAGCTACAGCTAGTATACAAAACACATCCTCTGCAATATCTTTCCCCATTGGACCTCCTCTCTCGAGAAGCTCCACATACAAAGGAACAGAACCAGATGCAGTCACAGACCTAACATACTCAGTCTCAGCAGATACTATCCCCAACGCATTACCAGCTAAAAGCTTTATCTTGTCATCTCCATCTTTAAACAAATCCACAAGAGCAGGAATCACTCCAGCTTCAACAAGAAACCTTCTAGCTCGTCTAGTAACACCGATTAACCCAACAGCGTGACAAGCTCTCTCTCTAGACGCAAAGTTCCCAACTTTAACCGCTTCAACAAGAAACTTCAACCCACCGTTGTGAACAAGAACGCGTCTGCTCTCACGTAACGTCGTCAAGGCGCTAAGAATCTCTAACAAACACCATCTACTCGACTCATCCTCCCACGTGTTCAACTCACGTGTCACAATCTCTACACCACCTAACCTAGCTAACCCGATTCGAATCGAAGATCCGAAAGTAACTAAACTCCATAAACACTTGACCCAAATCGTTCTTAACGGAGTACTGTTGTCACTCGAAGGCTCGAGTAAGAGCCCCAACAAGGTAGCGACCACGCCGCACCTCCCGATCGTCGCCGCGAATTCGCCGCCGAGACAGGCGATGCGTCTCAGGCAATGCGCGGCGGCGGCTTGGACGGAGCGATTGGGGTCGTCGGAGACGCGGAGGAGGGAGGCGAGGATGGGGATTGCGCGGGAGAGGATGGTGTCCGGTGATTGGTTGGCTAAAGATGATAACTTTAGGATGGATCTTACGCGGATTGGGGCGGGAGAGGAGGATGAGATTGCTTGTTCGAAGCGGTTAAACTCGGTTTCCCAGTCTGGGTTTTCCATTTCTGAAGAAGCACGAAAAGGTTGAGAAGAAGACGGAGGAGATGGAGATTGGCTCACGTCTTCGACTACAAGCAAACCATAACAGAGTGAGAGATTGAGGTGATGATTATTTACTTTTAGTTTTAGTTTTTGGTTTTGCTTTTAATTTTTAGTTTTTGGTTCTGGATTCCCTTTTGATTTTTGGTTTCTGATTTTACAGTAGATTTTAGCTTTTTGAAAAACTTGAATGGTAATTTTAGATCTTAATTTTTGTTTCTAGAGTAAAATAAAATACTAATAAACAAAAATATATGAAAATTATTACTATTATCACTAAATATAGAATATTTTGTGTATTAAAATTTATTTAAAAACAACAAAAACAGAATGTTATAAAATAAAAACTACTAGGAACCTGTATACATTTAATTTTATAGCAACAGGAAAATAAATAACTAATTAAAATTTCAAAACAAACAAAATAAAATTTAATTATCTTTTATAAAATATGGTAAGAACAAAATAAATATACATAGCTGAACTTTACAAGTGTGATTAATTCTAGACAATGAATAATTAGATTTTCTATTAACAGAATTAAAATAATTATATTTTTAGAAATATGGTAAAATCCATAAAATTATGTAATTCAAAAATTAAAACATACAAAGTAATAGCTAAATTCTTAAATAAAAGCTGAATTACAATTCAGTAAATAGCACTACAAGAAAACAAAGTCTTTACTAAGAAACTTTACTAGGAAAATAATTCCTCGTAAAAATACTACGAGTTTACTTCGAGTTTACGAGAAAACCATTTTTCCTCGTAAAGTTCTCGTATACTTACGAGAAAAATGTTTCCTCGTAAACTCGTAGTAGACTTACGTGGTCCTTACGAAGAAAAAGTCATTTTCCTCGTAAACTCATAGTAACTCCTTTCCTCGTAAAGTCCTAGTAATAATTTACTACGAAATTAGGAGGAATGGATTTGTTACTACGAAATTAAGAGGAACTGGATAGAAAATATCGAATTTAAATCAAAAACGTGTTTTGTACATAATTTTCCTAGCAATTTCCTAGTAAATTCTCAGATTCGAAAATTTCTATAAATACCACCATATGTGATTCATTTGAAACACACCAAAGAAAAAATCAGCTATAAGCTTGATCAAACACAAAAAAAAATGTTTGGTCCGGGAAATATTATTTCCGAGTTGCGGAAGTGGATGTATTCACACAGAGATAATAACGGGAGGGTGACGAAAGAATTTCTCGAAGGGTTGAAGACATTTATGCATCAAGCAGATTCTACACCTCTCAAGCAGGAACGTGGTAAGATGTTCTGTCCTTGTCGGAAATGTTGTAATACCAAATTAGGCCCTCGTGAAAATGTTTGGAAGCATTTAATAAATAGAGGTTTCATGCCATATTATTATATTTGGTATCAACATGGAGAAGATGCTAGTTGTAGGAATGAAGGTATCAGTAGTAATAGCAATTTTCAGATTGAATCGGTTGAGCATTTGCGTAACGAAGGTAGTAGTAATAGCTATCATCACCAAGAGGAACAAATGGTAGATTGTGATAGGGTTCATGATATGGTAGGTGATGCTTTTGTAACTCATGATGATGATGAAGTTGAAGAACCTAACTTAGATGCAAAAAAGTTTTATGAAATGTTAGATGCTGCGAATGAGCCAATTTACAGTGGTTGTAGAGAAGATCTGTCTAAATTGTCGTTGGCTGCTAGAATGATGAGTACTAAAACCGATCACAATCTACCTGGAAATTGTATGGATGCATGGGCAGACTTGTTTAAAGAGTATTTGTCAGAAGACAATGTGTCTGCTGAATCTTATTATCAGATCCAGAAATTGTTATATAGTCTTGGGTTGCCCTCGGATATGATAGACGTTTGCATCGACAACTGCATGATTTACTAGGGAGATGATGAGAAGTTAGAAGAATGTCGATTTTGTAAGAAGCCACGATTCAAACCGCAAGGTCGAGGGCGTAATAGGGTACCGTACCAAAGGATGTGGTACCTACCAATCACAGACAGATTGAAAAAATTGTACCAATCTGAGGAGACTACTGGAGGGATGAGATGCCACGCTGAGCATACTCAGACGGATGGAGAGATGACTCATCCATCAGATGCAAGAGCCTGGAAACATTTTAACAATGTACATCCACATTCCGCTAGCAATAGCCAGAATGTGTATCTTAGATTATGCACTGATGGATTTAGTCCATTTGGAATGTCTGGGAGACAATATTCATTGTGGCCGGTCTTTCTTACACCGTATAACTTGCCACCGGAGATGTGCATGCGATGAGAGTTTCTATTCATAAGCATATTAATACCTGGTCCAAAACATCCAAAAAGATCTCTCGACGTTTTTCTACAACCACTCATAAAAGAGTTGAAAGATTTGTGGTCAACAGGGGTGAGGACATATGATTGTTCAACGAAAACAAACTTTACGATGGGAGCGATGCTTTTGTGGACCATAAGTGACTTTCCTGCATATGGTATGTTGTCTAGGTGGACTACACATGGGAGATTAGCTTGTCCATATTGTAATGGAATGACAGATGCGTTTCAGTTGAAGCATGGTAGGAAGACTAGTTGGTTCGATTGTCACCGTCGATTTCTTCCCATTCACCACCCATGCCGAAGAAACAAGAAATTGTTCAGGCACAAAAGGGTTGTCAGAGACACTCCTCCTCCATATTTAATTGGAGAACAAATCGAAGCGCAAATCGATTACTACTGTGCTCTAGAAACAACTCCTCGTGGTGGGAATTGGCATGTTCCCAGTAATATGCCTGATTCTTATGGTGTTCATCACAGTTAGCACAAAAAGAGTATATTTTGGGAATCGCCATATTGGAAAGATCTTCTTTTGCGCCACAACCTCGATGTGATGCATATAGGGAAGAACTTTTTTGAGAACATCATGAACACTATATTTAATGTCCCAGGGAAGACGAAAGACAACGTAAAATCAAGGTTGGACTTACCCGATATCTGCTCAAGGAGTGAGCTACATATAAAAAGCCATGGGCAAGTTCCAGTTCCAATATTCAGACTGTTATCAGAAAAAAAGTCTGTGTTGTTCAACTGGGTGGCTTCAGAAGTGAAGTTCCCTGATGGGTATGTTTCAAATCTCTCAAGATGTGTTGAGAAAGGGCAAAAGTTCTCCGGGATGAAGAGCCATGATTGTCATGTCTTTATGCAGTGACTACTTCCCTTTGCGTTTGCGGAGCTACTACCGGCAAAAGTACATGAAGCACTTTCAGGAAATTAATTAATATAATACGATGACATGATTAATATATTTCTATATATATATATATACTAATGTGGATAATTTTTGTTTTCGTATATATATAAGGAATTGGAGCATTTTTTAGGGATCTGAGCACCCGCACTCTTAAAGTGGAAGTTGTCCAACAACTTCATGAAAACATCCCCGTCTTAATTTGCAACTTGGAGAAAATATTTCCGCCTACTTTTTTCGACGTCATGGAACACCTAGTTGTCCACCTCCTGTATGAGGCATTACTTCGTGGACCCGTGCATTATGGATGGATGTATCAGTATGAAAGGGCCATGAAAACTTTGAAAGGAAAAGTCAAAAACCTAGCAAGAGTTGAAGGTTCTATTGTTGCGGGAAGTTTGACGGAAGAAACATCACATTTCACTTCGTACTACTTTGCACCGAAAGTACGTACAAGGAAACGAGCTCCAAGAAGATATGATGATGGTGGTGTCGTGCCGACAATATATGGAAGACGATGTTCCAGACATCTTTTGTCAAATTGGGCGATTGGGTCGGAAATTGAAAGAGGTTTGGTGGTCGAGTGATGAAGACGTCCATAGTGCACACCTTTATATTCTTCTTAATTGCGAGCATCCATTGATTGCTTATTTTGAAAGGTAAATATATAAACATACACACTTATATATATATACTTATATATATATATATTTTTTTTTTCAATATTAAATATATAACATAACATATATGATTTTACAGTCAATTTGAGACTCAAGTCGAGGAAGCAATACCGGGTATATCGACAACTGAGTTAGACAAAAGGAAAGATCAACACTTTATCTATAGATAATTGACATTTTTTAGATACTAGTTTTTGATGGCAATATTTTAATTTCGATTTTAGATGTTAGTTATTTGATTATTTTGTAAATACTCAAAATTTGATTATTATTATATAATACTGTTTAAAAAATATGATTTGTAAGTAAATTAAATTTAATAAATTTGACATTACTAAATCAGAAAGTTTAAGTATCTATAAATTATCAATAAAAATATATAGACTGGTTTATTTTAAAATTAAAAGTTATGTTAATTTTATTTGTTAGTATAAGAATTTATATATTTTAGTATTATATTGAGATTAGATTTTAGATGTAAAATCATTTATTTAACTTTAGTGATTTGAAATACTTACTACAGTATTCTATCACTTTCATATTTTCTTATAAATATATATCATAACAGGGGCGGATCTACCTTATCAAAGAGTGGCATGTGCCACATAATGATTCTAAGACTTTCGTAAGAAGTTTCGGATTTCTTGATCCATTAGGTTAATCGGTTAGGCGTTTTATCAATGGACTCATAGGGAAAATGTTCGATCATCACGCCTGTCACTCGTGTTTCCCATATTTTATTTATTATCACTAGAGTAAACCTGCCCTACGGACGGGACAGTAAATTGACAAAACCTAAGACCATCTCCATCTATGACTCTTAAACATGAGGCACTTATGATTAAATTAAAAGAAAATAATGTGATTTGTGAAGTTAAGAACCTAGATTGATGAAAATTATTTTTACTCCTCCAATGTGGCGCAGCGTACGAATGGGTGAACGGTCGATCTTAGAATTTAGGGTTCCTTGAGACCTGTTCTTGGATCGATCAAGAGTTACTTGCGTTAGCTTCTTGAGACCAACTTCTTATTTGGATGAATTGAATCGAATCGAA